CGGCAGGATTCTGAATCTTGTATCCTGGTAAGCAAGAACATGTACTTCCCAAAACATGATCAAATTTGCACAAGCTGTTTTGTCCACAGATGCCATGAACTCTACATGGTTGAATAAGGGATTGCCAAGTAACAGTCCATCTCCGATCCTGCAAACTGTATAGCCTCAGACTGCCATCAGGATCAAGAGTTAAACGTCTCAGCGGACCCATACCCGAATCTGCCGCCCAAAACCACAAAGCATCGGATGACCTGAAATAACCTGAGGAGTTTAGTACAGCAACTCGACTGCTGTTATATGTAGACCTGTCACTGCCCTTTTGCCAAGAAAGACGCCATGGAGCTGGCCAATAGACACTGGTTATGTTGGGGACTTGGTAGAGAAGGCGCAGGACATTATCATTATCAAAATAAAGCTTATAATTACCAGAAAAGTAGTTGCTTCGACTCCTTGATGAAATAAGGTAAGTGTCTTTGGTTAATACTTGATCCGGGAGCAAGGTATCTGTGGGAGAATTAAAGCTTTGCCAGAGGAAGGCATCATTATCAGTACGTTGAAGAACAAGATTGCCAGTATTGAGAAGCTTTAGCTGAACAGGGGAAGCTGCAAAAATGTCTACAGTCCACTCTGTTCTTCTGCCTGCGTCGGTCAAGATAAGCTTTCCGTTCCCCAATAGCTCAAGCTTTGAGCCTATTCCGTTTACCGGTTGGTCTCGGTTGGCCATCCAAACAACGGTGCGATTGGGATCGGTTGAATTGTTGAACCATACGGAGAAGCAGAATGCATTTTCGCCAACAGGGTAAAACCCAGCATTGAAGATTCCATTTGCAGAAACCAAAACATCTCCTGGTTTCTGAACGTGAAGAAATTTGTCTTGTTTGAGAATATCAGAAGCCATGCATGGAGAAAGAGAGAATATGTGGAGGAAAACAAAAAGAAGCGAATATACCCACCCCCACATATCCATGAACACTGAGATTAAGATAATGTATCAGCCATGCTGGTTTCAAAATCGAAGGCAGTTCTCCTACTTATTATATAATCTTTGGTGATCTAGGAAGCAAATAAGTAAAATTAAAAGAACTGGAAGTCCCTGCCTGGAGAAAATTCTTGTATACAACTGTGAAAATTGAACATGAAGGGTTCAATACAAGATTAGTATATATCTAATTTAAAATCAATTGACCAATAGTTAGAGTAGCTTTCTTTATTTTTAAACCATATATTTCTTTGAGATATTCTCAATCTAAGATTTCTTCACTTAACATGTCACCTTAAGTGCAAGTCAAGTATGAATATCATGTGACTTGACATGTCCCTTATAGGTAGACCTTTTCAAGACTGGCCTTCATTTTTAGGATCAACCCATTTGATAGGACTTGAAATTTATACCAAATCTACATGCAAGGAGCATAAGTTATATTAGGCCTACATGTAAGAGGTGTCTCAAGTTACATGATACGTGAGAAGGCGTATTAAGTAAAAAAATTTCACATTAAGAATATAACAAAAAAAATCCGAATAAAATATAAGAAGTACTACTAATATAACTATATGTTAACATGTGTAGCCCTAACTTACAATGAAAAAATTAATGTATTATAATTTATTAAAAAAATTCATTTACATATAAATTAAAAATTATATAAAGGCAAATTTTTACTTTTTATTAATTATTTTATTACAAATAAATTAATATGTTAGTATATTAGTATTGAGTGGAAAAATCCCGTATTGAGTGGAAAAATCCCACATTGAGTATATAACAAAGAAACTTGTGAGTTAAATACAAGGAAAACTATTCCACCTACTACCAATTGGTTTAAGGTTAGATACAAACTTATATTGAGTTCACATGCATAATTTTCATATAGTATTAACCCATCTGATAGGAAGGGATGTGTTAAGTTACATGACAGAACCCAACATTTTCATATGGTATTAGCCCACCTGATAGAAAGGAGATGTGTTAAGTTATATGATAGAACCCAACATTTATAATAGATTTACACGTGAGGGAATGTGTTAAGTCATGTGACAGAACTCAACATTCATAACGGGCAGGCATGTACGTGAGGGAAAGTAGGAAAATCCCACATCACCGATTGCCAATTGGTGTTCATGTTGACTAGAAGTCCTTAAATGACACAATAAAGGCTTAACCTTACCTCCGTTCTTTCTGGCTTAAATGTTGCCTAGAAGTCCTTACATGACCGATAAACATTTTGAAAAGTCAAAGTCAACTGAAGATTAAAAGAGAAATAAAAGAAAAACAAAAGTAGGAGGTACTTACCAGAACGTGCACGTTAAGTTCACAGAGGCAAAACATCAAGCACTTTGCAGACGGCTAGAATTGTTACCTCATGACCCAGAAGTCATCTACGATATGTCCACATCTGATGCCACTAAATCTAGGCCTAGTTGCCAACCTTCATGAATTCCAGCCGCGACCTTTCCTTTTCCACTGGTGTTGTTAAGTTGTTATTCTCATTATCATGACATCCAGACGACTATGGCCTTTGCAGCAACATCAATCTCTACTAAAAGGGGAGTGATTTTGTTAGGACTTAAGGGGAGTGATTTTGTTGGGACTTGAGGGTTAAAAAACAGATCATTGGTTTCAAGATATACTATAAATGTTACTTTATTTTTATACTATTTTTGTTCTCACTATTTTAGTATGTAAAGAGATTAATAAAAATGCTTGTAAGATACAATAAAATGAGGTTTTGTTGATTAAGTTTTGCACTAATAAAATCAACTATAGAATCTTATTTTTTCAAGCAACAAAACTGTTATTTTTATACAAAGATTTTTCAGTAATCATTGCACAAAAAATAGTTGTTTTGTTTTGATAACAACAGCATACTATCCATATTATCCATATAGGAGTCTGTTTTCTATATTTAAGAAGAGGATGAAAATAAACCTTTTATAATCAAATTATAGTTGTCTGTTAATGAAAGATATCCATATATATATATATATATATATATATATTATTGATATACTTCTTTTATTTGAAGAGTTTTAATACATTACAAGAAAAATGATTTTTAGTGACAGAAATTTATGATGAATTCTGAAATCATTACTATAACTTATTATAATTATGACAGATCTAAAAAATTAGTCATAAATGCATACATATTTAATGATGAAAAAAAAATTCATCATAAAAAATATATTTCATCACCGAAAAATGTTCATAAAGATAAAATAAGTTTTTGTCAATAAAAATCATCACTATAATACATTACAATTATGACAAAATTCTAATATTGATCACATATACCTTACACATTCAATGACGACCAAATAATTTATCACTGAAAAATATATTTCATCACTAAAAATTGTCAATTTTCTCTAATCAATGCATCCTACATCAATAAAAAACACATAAGAAAATAAGGTTTTGTACTATAAATATATCCCACATCGATAAGAAATATTTAAGAAAATAAATTTTTACACTATAAAACATGTGAAACTCAATAAAACTTGAGATTAGTTTGGGCCTAATTAATTTTAATTGGGCCTAATTAATTTTAATTAGGCTTGATTAATTTTAATCAGGCTTGATTAATTTTAATTAAAATTGATTAGTATTGAAATAATAATGTTTTTTTATTAAACTTTTGTGATAAATTTATATATTATTTTTTGTGACAAAATTTTTGTTAAAATATTTGTGTTGTAATTATATAATTTTTTTTTTATTTAATATCAATTTTAATATTAATGATTAAATTTTTCATCACAATTGCATTTGTGACGAATATTTTTTTGTGACGAATATAATTGTTATAAATAACTTGTTAGCAATGTCAATTTTTTTTATCACTATAAAATTATTTTCTGTGACAGGTACTTAATTTGTCACTGAGAGTATTAATGACAAGAGTTTTACTAACGGTTTAAATTTTATTACTAATAATAATTTGTGATGAAAAATAAAAATTTAATGATCAATACTTTAGTCATTAAATATGGATTTTCTTGTAGGGATATAAGAAAGAAATCTTTTTACTCGTGTTTTTTTCAACCATTGTGCACTTTTCTCCCTTTCGAAAACTTCTCCAACAGATTTTACTTCCACAATGATTACCTTGCCGTCATCTGGGGTATCATCATAGGAGTATCATTTTTTAAAAATATCCAGTTGTTAGTGGCTACCAAGCAAAATCAGAATTCACTTTCATGAGATTAAATTGCAATTTTTATGCTAATAATTTTTATGGAATTGGAACCTACTAGGAAACCAGATTCAGTTCACACCCTAATTCACCTCCTCGCCTCTTTTTCTCTTTTGGGTTTTGATCTTTCCCTTCAATTCTTGCTCTGAAATATATTCAAACCATGCTTCAGACTTTGCTTTATCTCTGTGGACTTTTGGGGAAATTTTGACGTTGAAAGTTTTCCCCAATCAAACGCCCCCCAAAGCTTCAGCAACCAAACACGCCCTTACAAGATTATCTTTATATTTTTACATAATAATATTACAATAAAATAAGATTAAAACCCTATTTTGGTCCTTGAATTATTGCATGGACCCCTAATTTAGTCCTTAAACTAAAAAAATCCATGATTTGGTCCTTATTATTACCAATTTTACCTCAACTTGATCCTTCCATTAAAAATCTTCCATTAACTCACAAACATATAAAAAATTTAAGACACATCAATTATACAAATAGATAAATGATGACATGGCAACATGATAAGTCATATTCATACCCAACACAGAAACAAAAGTGGGGCCCACCAAATTACAATTTTGCCATCATCTTTTTCCTCCAACAGCCTTTTGCTCGAATCTTCCTTCATTCAAACAATCAATTCAATCAAATAATTAAACAATCAATTCAAAGGAACTCAGCGCCTAGGTTGAATCGAACCCAATAGGTGCCTTTTCTTTTTCCTTCCTCTTCCTTGCCTTGCCTTCTTCAT